TGTCAGACTCGACTGTCCACAACACCAGTCTTCCACAAAATGGATATATAATGTCCTCCTTAGGATCACAAATCCACCCACACTGCCTTCCTTTCAGACGCTAAATCAGCGGGTGCCATCGGGAGGAGCTGCTGGTGACCTATAGCACGTGGGCACCTAGCAGGATAATAAAGGCACACGGCAGGCAATCGTGACACTGCCAGCCAATTAGCGCCCTCCCACCCAACTTGACAGAATGACATCTGTCTCACAGTCACGGTCTGTGAACAAACAAATCATTCCCTGAGAGAAGTGCAAAATCTATCACGTCGTTATTCTGTTATGAAACCAACGTTAGAGTGCTAAACAGCGTGCAGATACCTCTCTCTGCTCCCTGAGCTACCTTTTGTCTGAGGGATGTCGCAGTAGCGGTCTTCTTATGCGAAGGTCACAATGTACACAAGTCCCAGCTGTGCTCTCTCTTAGACGAAGACAACCAAGTACACAGCAGAAGGATAAAGCCCAGGGAAAAGGGCTCACCTGTGCGGTTGCACAGGGGTGGAAAATTTCTGGCAAAATTCCTGAAACTTTCCACAGGCGGTAGGGTTGCAAAGGGCCAGCAAATTTCTGGAAACTTTCCATGGGACGTTACGTTAGGGAATTTTGTAAATGCTGAACTCTGTGAAACTCCACACAAGCTGTCAGTTATGGCAAAAAAAAACAAACTGTATGAATAATACAACATAGAATACAACTTACAAGCAACGTGTTTGATGCAGATTCTAATTTAGTGGTGTTTTTACACATAATTACTCACAAACACCTGTTTATACAATGATATAAATATTAGTGTTGTCAAGATGTTTCTTTTAACTACATTTAAGTTCCCTACTATAGCCCAACCTGCGATAGGTTTTGCAAATTTTCAGTTTGTTCCAATTAATTCCCATGGAAAGTTTCCAACTTTGAAAATTCCCAGAATTTTATTCATCTGGACAATGGCAGTGAAAGCCGACATCCCTTCGCTATAAGAGCAAACATTGGTGTAGTGTGTTACCGCCCGAGGCCACTGACATGCAGCGATTGTGCCCAAAGCAGTGATGGTTTCAGAGGGTCCATTCCTGATCTTTGGGCCCCACCTGTAAGTAATCCTCTGTGAGTGTGTCTCCATGAGCCCCCCCACCCTCTGTCCCAGAAAACTTTCTCTCTGAACATCTCCGGTTTTACTCTTCAGTCAGCCTCTCTCCTGTCTTCCCTTTTATATGTCATGCGCTAGTTTTTCTCAGTGATTTTTTTCCCCCCCTGTCCCCCTCTCTATCTCGCGCGCAAACCCCAGGCAGGCGCTTAATGTAGAGTATTTTCTGTGTTCAGGGAAAGATAAAGTTGTTTTCTTGCTAGGTTTCAAACTTTCATGGGGGCCTCCATCCCTTAAGGGAAGAATACAGCAGCTGTAGAAGCGCGATGGGGGAAATGCTCCACATGTACAGAGCCCATTATCAGTGTTTACCAAGCCAATGGCAGAACCACGGGGATCATCTTTAGGAGGATTAGAGACAGGCCCTGCAGAGACTCTCTCTCTCACACACACATACAGACACATACACAACAGGCCATTGCAGCTTGTGTCCTGCACTGTTACGAAGCCTCTGTGTGTGTGTGTGTGTGCGTGTGTGTGTGTGCGCACGCGTAGCTTGTTAATAACAGCAATAGTATCTGACATACCAATGAGTCACCAGTTTGTGGACCTTGAAAGGAATCTGCAGGCACAATTACATTTGTCACTTGTGCATAATAGTTAAACGCACAGACACACTGATGATACTGGATGACTATGTGGACTAAATATAGCAAACAAATGATGTGCACTGGAACTGCAAAATAAATATTAAACCTTGTTAAATGCTCACACCATCCATCTACCTTCAAAGCGACTGTCCCATTCAGGCTCTGATGGGTCTGAAGGCTCATCCAATGCTGCACAGACCACAAGGCGAGTCTAGACCCTGGATAGGACACCAGTTCACTGCAGGGCACATATTCACAAACTCACAATCATGCATTACAAGCAATTATGGACTTCGGAAGGAAACCGGAGTACCCAGGGGAAACCCAAACACGTGGAGGAGATGCACACTCCACACACGGAGTGAAGGTTATGTTAGACTCCCCAAGTGTGGAGGTGCAGTACAGCTCCCCAATTTTTGGGGATGTTATTAATTGTATCCTCCTGAGACCCCACCCATTCATTTATGTCCACTGTAGTGGGCATTTTATTTTTGCATCTATCTTTTCACTGGTGTTAGGAAACGTATTTATTCCTGTTGTGCACTAAAGAGGACATGCTGTGAAATTAAAAATAAAAATAAATTAGAAAAAATCTAAATTGTAAGATGTCTTATTTCCTCCAAAGACAAATAACTTAAATTGAAGGACACTTTTTTCCTTGGGTCTCAGGAGGATATATTAGTTCTGGTATTCAACACATACCAGATATTTGGCATAATTTACTATTGGAGGGAGTCAGAATAGCAAATAGAAATTAGATATAAACAAGACCTACAGCCAACAAACATGGCTCATACTGTTTATGTAGAATTTATTTCATGTGAAAGAAATTCAGGGTAATTGTTCTACTGCCGCAGAAGCTGTATCAGGCAGGACATAAGAAGAGGGAAAAAAGTACATACAGACACACACAAAGGAAAACAGCCACCTAAAGTCTCATATAAATGGGAGAAAATAAACAATACTCTTCACAACACACAAAAAATGTGCCAGAGTGGGGGTGGACAACAGTTTCTGGAATAATTATCTCCCTCAAGACCACCAGTTTGACTCCCTTTTCCTGAATGTAAGGAGAATGAGTCTCTTCACGGATAACCCAGACAAAAAGCCCAGGCCCGCAGAGACAGGGCTGCACTGCTGCATATAATTGCTTTCTCGGATGCTGCAGGAGTCACGGTCCTCGTACGCAAAGACGCACACAAAAACCAGGGCCATGTGCAGAGGCGGCGGACACAGATGCGGTGACACGCGGTGATGATGACCTGGAACCACGAGACCTCCAGACGTAATCCATAAAGCCCACCTAAGACGCTCATCAGTCCATACGTACGCAGCATAATGTGCTTTTCCTCAGAGTAAACAGCAATAGCTATTCTGCAGAACCCGAAGTGGAAGGTGCTGTCTGGGGCTCACCGGCGACTGGAAATATTAATGCTGTGTCCATACTTACCATCCAGCAGAACATTGGAGGCCAAACAACAGAAAGATACCTGCAAAGAAGCTGATAAGACTCTTACTCATTTCTTCCCCTTCTGTGTGCAAACATAATACTGTCATGAATATTGTTGATTTATATGCTCTACTCAAACCATGCAAACCATGCATTTATGGGATTTCCCCCAAAGCACTATATTCATGGGAGGATATGCTACCTTACACTCACTTTCTTGTCATTTGAAGACCCCTGGACTAGTTCCCTAATCAAGGGACCTATTTCATTCAAGACACCTAAGCGCTACATCAGAACCTGGTGCGATCCTTCCTTAAACAAGCAAACTGCTGTCCCAGTGGGGATCTGTTTGGAATTGCGAGTAAATTTCCAGGTGGATAAATATCACTAATTACTTCAAGCAAACACGCCGTGTGGGTTCGCCTTCAGAGCAACAGAATAGCTCATAGGAGCCACATTTTCTGCTGCTCCGATTTCTTTGAGACTTGCAGATGCAGCAGATTGTGAGGAATCACGCCCCCCTAAACCCTAACCCTGACAGCTCAGACTTCAGGGAATTTTAATTCACTGTGAACTGTTATCCAAACCACCGCGCTCTGTTCACGGGTAACGTAAATTCAACAATGGACAAAAAGCATACTTTTAAACATGAATGGGGTTGGTTGTAAAGATGTTTTTACACAGCTAGCAACAATGCTGAGTGGGGTCCTCCATAAACTCACTGTTAGGAATGAAGCTGGGAATTCGATGAGCTTGGCAACAGGACCAGAGAGTTCAGGAAGCTTAATCTGTACGTGAGCTTTACCTCATTCACTAATTACCGAAGGCAACCCCCCCCCCCCCCCGGCAAGGGTGACAGCAGAGCGCGAGCCACGCGGGCACCTAGCGGGGACCCAGCTCCCCCACAGGCGCTTGAACAGCTTGATCTGGGTCCCTGGAGTCTTCCTCCAAGACCTCCTGTCACATCTGCTTCACATACCACATTAAAATATATGGAGCGAGGTCATTAAAAAAAGTTTTAAGGTGCACAACTCAAAATAAGTACGCATATATAATATATAAAATATATTTTTAAAATAATGCATGTAAGCTACACAAGCGCCCCGCCCCCTGCTCAAATCATGCAAATTAGTGACTGTGCGGCACTTTGCTCCTCGTCAGCGGAGCCGCTCACGTCTGCGGAGCCTAAAGCGATTTTGAGCCGCACATCACGGCTTTACAGCAGACTGTCTACGTGTAAGCAAACTCATACAAGACTAAATGCATATGAAACGCATTAAAAGGCAAATTAATGAAAATTCTGGTGATGTTTCAGTCTGGGCATTTGGGATCTGGTCTTGTGGTAGGTGTCGCTCTAACAGTTTATCCACCAGTGAGTCCTTCGATTTGAAATTATATTTCCAACAACTATGTGCAATTCGTGTGCTTTAAAACATTTAACATTTTAATTACATCGAAGGAGGTGAGATCTCGGAGCGTGATATTTAATTACCTTATTTAAATTACACAGTCTACAAAACATCACTGACAATCAGATCCGTGAATCTTCATTAACTCGAGGGCTGGCAGATACATTAATTACCCATCACCAAATTAGTTTATAGATGACGAGTTAAATAACAATTTAAGTAAATTAAATCGCGCCTTAAGTTCGGAAACTTTTATTACAGTCACCGTCTGGCTTCGTAAACTTTTTATCCGGATACCAGCGCCTTAGTTTTAATGCGCATACGGGTGCATCCCCACCGGGCTGCTCGGGGTCTCGGGCTCGACGCGCCGGTCTTACCTCCGAAGTTGTGGATTTTAACCAGCACATCAGCAGCGCTCCTCAGCTTACTCGCCAAGTACAGCCGGCCCGAGTCCCGCTCGATCTGGACCGGCGAGTCCACGCCCAGAACCACCTCGAACCACCGCCTGGCAAACCTGTGATCGGGCACCGTGAAAATCAGGTCCCCGATACGCGCATCCTCGGACACGGGGACAGCGTAGGACAGCTCCCCGGGTGCTGCCCTCGGCTTCCGCGGCATGGCCATAGGGACCCGCGGGGAGACGCCGCCCGCACCGACCGGGGGCCCGGAAGGCGTTGCCTGTCCACTTTCGGGGGCGCTGCTGTTTACGTCCGGGACTTGGGTCTCCAGCTCCGCGGCATCAGCTCTTAGCGCGTACGGTGGTTTTAACTGCCCGCCTAAACTTCTTGAGGCTTCCAGAGACCGGCGGCTGTCGTGGCTTGGGGGGACAGCGCTGGAATCGGAGGCTCCCTTCCCCGCTAAAGCGCTGCCCGGTCCCGATTCCGGCGAGGGGTGGCGGCGCTCTGAGCTGACAGGTACGAGCGTCTGCCAAGTCGAGTTTTCACCCACATTTCCGTGGTACAGCGTCGACGGAGCGGTCGTGGAGGGGGATAAAATAAAGATGAAAAACAGGAATGGAACTGCAAACTTTACAGCGTCCTTCATGTTTGTGCCAGCTCACTTTCTGTCCAGTGTGACATGAAACTTCCCCCTTTTCATCAATATTTTACATTTGAGCCAAGAAAGCGCACAAATAAAATACACAGCAATCTGCTTTGTAAAAACAGAACCGGAGCTGAGGGGATTAAAAAGTTATATGGCATAAAAACAGATACTGTCATTCAATCAGCAGAAGACAAGTGTCAACAAGACTATGCTCCAACAGGAACGTCACTCGGCTTCGGAGCAGCTTCACTCCGCCGACACAGAGAGGGAGACTCCATGTGGGTGCCCATGGTCGCTCCGCCCATCGCTTTCTAACCAATCAGCGCGACGCGTGGGCGGGGCTGCAGCGCCACCGCACCCATTTAAGCCCGCCCATATGCAAATCGCCCTTTGTGCGGTCCGCCAAGCGGACGTTACGGAATTTAACGTTCGCCTCAGCATCGGACCGTTTAACGTTTTTCAAACAAAAATAAATCTGAGAGCTTCATTTACAGTTTCAGGCTGCGCAGCTGCCACCCAGTGAGGCCAACGGTGCCCTGAAATTACAATAAGCTATTCACAGCCTCTTATAACGCTTTAAATTTTAAATGTATACACGCGCTGCGTCTGGGGGAGAAAAACAAAATAAGCAAAAGCGATTTCCTGACACCCTCAGAAAAGGCGAACAAGAGGGCAGTCCTGACAGATTGTGTCCAGAAAAAATGCGTATGAAAAATGCAGTTGTAAAAAAAATACATTTACATTCAGTCGTGTGTAACAGCAGCTGAGTGTGAGTGGTCAGGATTCCGAGATACGGTTACTGGGAGCGGAGGACCGAAAATAGGACAACGCGAATGACTGTCTCCGTGCACTTAATCTTGGCAACCGATTGCATGCTATAATTCCATTAGAGAAATCAAAATGAAACAATTGAGTCAGAAGATATTCAAAATAATTAGGTAATCCTGGGGCAGGCAACACCCAAACAACAAGGCATGAAACGTCTTATTGGTTCATCACATGCAGTATTAAATCTGATTTTCAGACTTTTGTCTGAAATTTACTGAATAATCATATTATGGTTCTATCCTGTTTTCAATTTATATTGTAGTACCTCAGTGGGTAGTACTGTTGCCTCATACATCCAAGGTTGTGGGTTCAAATCCCGCCTTTGCTCCGTGTCGAGTCAGCACGTTCCCCCATATCAGACTGGTTTCCTCCCACAGACATGCGGGTAGGCTAAATGGCTTTTGTAAATTGCCCTGCGATGGACTGGCATCCCATTCAGGGTGTACCCCAGCCTTGTGCCTTATGTCGCCTGGAATAGGCTTCATGCCCCCCCGCCACAACCATATCCACGGTAAGCAGTTCGAAGCTGCATGGATGTGTGATTTTTGTATTCTCCGCGGGATTACTAATTCATTCTGCAAGTTTATTACAAAGAAATGTAAGATTGTCCTTATTCCCATCAGGGGAGAAGGATGCAGTTCCAGACATAACTTTTTAATAGTTTACTTGCCTGTCTTTCCAGGCAAGATGAAATAGTTTAGTGGAGCCTCATTTGCTTCCTAATCTCTGCAAAGCCCACCTTAATGACCACGTTTTACCCGGGGCGTCGTTTTTATGAGTCACAGTTACGTTTTACAGTGTGCCACAATATTCATTGTAGGGCTCACAGTGGAAGCAGATCCATTAGTAATCTCCTGAATTTCTGTTGGTGTTTTGCTTGATAAGACATTATTCAAATTAAGGGCTTCACCTTTTAAGGGGTGAGTGTCAGAAATTGTATCTGTACATATTGCAAAAGTGGCAGAGGTACATTTATTTATTTATTTTTTTGCTTTTTGCTTTTTGGATTTTACAGGGTGAGTCAGTTTCGTTTAGGGTTAGGGTTAGATGAAAAAAATGCATTTTGTACATAAAGGCACATGAAAGCAGAAGAGTTCGAGTTCATGCTGAAATTCATATTCAGGTTTTTTTTTAAAATGTACCTGAATATATTTCACAGTTAATCCGAATTGGTTAAGCTCCAAGCTCCAGTCATAAAATGATCACCCTGCAGCGAATGCCCTTACCTCTGCTTGCTTTGAAAAGCATAACACAAATTACAGCAATTTACCCCAAGAGGCAGTGTATCTGTGACAGGGGAATGGATTTCAAGTTGACGGTGTCGAATGTCGTGTCACAGCCACTCATGACCGTCTTTCATCACGTTCTGGCATGACTCTCCGTGGAAGAGTGACAAGAATAGCAAGGGAAAGGAGGCAATCACATGAACCCTGATTCAGTTTCTTCTGCTAAGGTCAGTGGGAGAACTGGCAGATTCTTTTTTCCCATGAACCCCTTCTCTCCCCTTCATGTTCCCTCTCCCTCATTGGGCACTTTCATCGCGACAGCGGCAAGCTTTATTATCTGGGGGCTGACAGTCAAATTAAAGCCAGGTGGATTTCGCTTCTCTCTCCACAGAGGGAGAATTATTCAGCAGTTAAAATACAGCTTGTACACCCCCCCGCCCCCCCACCCCAACCTGTCCCGGCTTGCGTAAAGCGGTCCCTGTTTCTGCACCCCCTGTAAGCCCCCACCCCAGTCTCTAATGCCTACATCATCTCTGACATGCCTTAGACCTCTGGGGATGATGGGTAGGGGGCCCCTACACCCTCGGGACTGTTTTTTGTCTCCCCAAAGTGTAAGTAAAATAACCACATTAATGCACACTAAGCACATCCCCCAGGTGTTTACCCGTTCAGTGTCACCTCTCATTGTTCCCTTCTATCTATTCCGCATGGTATAAAATGCTAAATAACCTGTTTATGTTCTGCATTCTGCCAATAGGCAGCATCTCCTCTTTTTCAGAATCACCACGGCAACTCACAATCTCCTCACCTGCCACCATCAAAGGTCTGGACCACTGCTGTCCACAAGCCACATCATAAACCAATCAGGGTTAAGACTCCGTGTTATAGCTAATGAGCAATCAGCACCCCCACCCCCAGTCTCTCTTGCACCACCCACTGTTTTACCCCCACCACCCAACCCCCCTGCTCATCTGATTGCAATCAGCAGCAGGTCCTCTGAATTCTGCCTGCACTGTTTCCCAGACCCCCTCAAAGTCCTTTAATTGCTAACAAGCGGCAGCAGAGGGTGACAGGGTGTCGAACCTGTGACAGATCCGATGCAGCGTGACTCATATGCTCAGAGGGAAGGGTTGTAGCCTGCATAACCGGGGACGTGTTGGATTTCCCAGGCAAAAAACCTGAAATCTAAATCCAAGTAGGGGCAGGAACGGCTCAAGGAACTCTAGCGCGGAATGAAATTCTAAGCCGCTATAATTCTACGAATACAAATTCCATACTCTCAGAAATCATCCATCTCCCCCTTGAATCATGAAAGATAGGCCATTAGTGCATAAGAGCATAGTTTATTCTGGGCAGTCCTCTTGAGCGGAATCACCTCCTGACAAATCTACAGTGTTCACAGCATCGTCCTTTGCATGTCAAATGTGAAACACACCATAGCACGCAGAAAATGGTGGCGGGCCTCGGCCGGCGGGGCCCTGGACCCAGGAATCACGGCTGTGGTTTTTGGAAGACGAAAAACTCCGAGCGCTGCATTAGAGCGCTTTATTTCAGGGCTGGAATAAAGCCCCAAGCCACTGTCATCTACTAACGGGAGCTGTACAGGGTATGTGCGAAATCAGCTAGTACTCCAGTTCCTTAATCTGTTGTTCTCGATGTCCTATTTCTTTTTATTTGACATACAAACAAAAAAAAGACAAACATCTCACAAAAAAATGCGTGAGAGGTAAAAAGGAAAGAAATGCTTATCGTCTTTGGGGGCCGATCTAATAATAGAATTTCATGACTCTGTTGGTTTAACAAAGCATAGCTGAGGGCTATGAATTGTGCGACGGTTCAATGTTTGTCAAATGCACTGCATTGCGTTCCCATTTGCAAATAACCTGTATCTATCTCTGTATCTTTGTGCATTCAATTCCAGTGCATCTGGCCGTGCCTGATTTGTAGCTGAGGCACACTTGCATACGGAAGCACACACACTCCGCTCGACATACATTGCACCAGGAGCTCAAAGAGCATCCTAACAATCTCAGCCGTTGTTTCCGCACGCACTGGGAGAGGAGCCTGAATGCAATTATGAGTTCCAAGAATCCAAAGTTGTATTTTTTCTTGGCTACCCAAACAGAGCAGAGAGAAAAAAAAAACACAAGCAGATTAAATATTAACTTTGCCCTTTTTTCACGAGTGTGAAGTATCGCACCACAGGTTGGTTTGAATCACAGCCGCGTGAGGTGAAACAGAAGTGAGGAGGGGACAGGAGGGGGGTGACGGCAGAGAGGGAGGTCATGCCACTTAGGCAGCTCCTCAGCAATGACGCTGCTGCAGCTCCAGGGGGCGCTGGCGAATCCAGTCTGGGTCACAACAGGGTTGTCCTGGAAGGAGTTGCTTATGTCATCTTGGTGTGACAGGACTGGAGTCCGGTCATGATAGTGTGAGGACAGGGGTGTAATGGGGGCGAATTATGACGATTCCAAGGGCCCAACATAATTGGATTGGTCTGGGTTTGGGGCCCAATTATGTGCTTTTATGGGGCCCGGAATCTCTAGCAGCACCCTGGGGTGATGGGGTACACATAAACACACCCAGCAGGCACAGGTGGGGTTCGAATGGGATTGATAAAGCTACACACAACTGACGTCATGTAAATATCCTGCAGCGGCAGCTCAGTGATCGGTGACGTCACATGACGAACCCGGGTTCCACCGTGGACCCCTGCTTTCGGCTCTGTGTCCATCTTGCATTATCTCCTCATCTTTACACAGGTTTCCTCCCACAGTGCAGCTCCATTGCTGTGTCTAAATTAACCAATAGTGTGTGAGTGTTTGTGTTTACTCTGCAATGGACCTGACACAGGTACAGGCCGCTTCCCCGGGCATCACGGGACGGCATCCAGGTCCCCGAAGCCTGTCCTGGACAAGCAACATGCAAAATGGATAGATAGAGATCTAATTCAGATTTTGAATCCTTATGAGTAATTTGATTGGGCATAGTTATCTAATCTTTTTCATTTTTACTAGTGAGGAATAAACATAAATAAAAAATATCTGATTATTTGTTCTAATTTGTAAAAGAATTCATCTGGGGCACTAGCCAAGATCGCATGGAGAGATTCTCCTTTTCCTGCTGAATATTGCCATCATCAAAGAGTGTGCAGAGGACAACAGAGCCAGCTGTGTTTGTTGCCGGTGGGGAGGTTGTCAGGGTTCCTCTAACTTTGCCTTCTAGGGACTCGTTTTCGGAAGGCGGTGGACTGCGGTCATCTAGTCTCCTTTACTCTCTCCTGCATGGGGCCATAGTGTGGAACAGGGTCTCTGATAGTGAATCGGAAGACTGCTTTTAAATCCAGCATGGAAAATGCTATACTGCTAGTGATAGAGGGTTAGGGGGGGTCACAGTACTGCAGACACCTGTGAATTACTTAGAAAGGGCAACCATTGAGCTGAGGAGAAAATGGGCAAAAGGTCAAGAGAGGCCTCTCTCATGCACACTCTTCATACAGCATGACGCCAGCGGTCGTCTCGGCAAATGTCCTTTCTTACGAGTCTAAAAAGTTTCTCGCCTCTCGGCGAGGTTGGTGATGGTGTCAGCAGTTCACTGCCTGGGCTTGAAAAGTTCCTCCCCATGCAGAAAGCGGGCAGTGGGACCGGAGAGAGTCTGGAGATTTGCTGATTCATCTGAAGGGAAAGTGACATGAGTGGAAGGGAACCTGAAGATTTGGGATCAACTCCAGCGGAGCAATATGCCAAAGTCTCCAAGCGTGGCAGAACAGGAATAAGGGGCCGTAATCGGCAAGAAGAAAATAAATACGCGTGATTCATCAGACAGCCTAGATTATGTGGCGCTGAAGATGATTTGGGGTTGGGTTTATTAAAAACTGGAGGAGGGAGAAGAATCCTTTAAATCACACATAGCCTGTAGCCAGCTCACAGAGTAAATCCCATCATACTGCAGAGGAGGATAGAAAACAAGCAATAACAAAAGGGAGACTCACATTTCCCATGGTCCTCTGCAAGCAGGAATGTCCTGGCTGAGATAATAGCATGAACTCGCATTTGACATGCGGTTTAAAATTCTGTCGTGGAATAGAAACACACACAGGATTAAAGTATTTGGCGGCTTGCCAGCAATTAAACGGGACGATGACACGGGCGCCGGGCCGTGTCCCGGCAGCTCTGCGGCTTCGCCGTCGTTTCCTTAAGTCTTCCTGCTGCCTTCATCGCCAGCATGTCTGTGTGACGGCGTGGCACACTGGTCCAAGCCGTGCTTCTCACAGCCGCAGCGTCCGGCACGTCTGCGGGCTGCGAGGCACAAGCCCACAGGTAGAGACTTTCAGCAAGCGAACGGAGCGTAGTGGTAAACATTTGTTTGTTTGGGTCAGATGTCAGCCTGGCGTGTGAGAGGCTCTGTCCGCTTATCTGCGGCAGACGCGTCGGTCCGGCTTTGCTGTGGTACGCGTCACGTGACCTCAGTTCCATCCTACGCTGGAAAACCCTGGTCGGGTGTTCTGCAGCCAGCCAGCACCACCTTCAGTGCAGATGTTCACCTTCCATGAGCCATATGTTGACTTCCATATCCAAGAAAGTGATTCAGCTTTCCAGGTCTAAAAGCCACCGACCGAGTCTCATTTCAAACCAGGAATGGGGCATGTTTAAATATATGGAGTTAAAAGCAGCGGCAGTGCTTACCGGCCCTCTAGCCAAGGTGCTGCGGATGGGGGAGGCACTGCGAAAAGGGGCTTAACCTCTGCAAATGGAGCAAAGTCTGAGTGTCTGAGTGGCTTTCCATAAACTCACCTCTCAAGCAATTAAACGTGATATAAAACAACATCAACAGAGCTTCTCCTTCCCACCTAACCTGCCGTGTTTCACCCGGCAGTTCTTCAGCCTGCCTTACGGTGCATTACCTTCACAGAGCCTGGTCACCGTTATTATTTAACATAAAGCTAAAAGGAGAATTGCTGGTATTAGAGTCTCCTTGGGCTCCTGTCGAATGGCAACGCAGTTGTGTTTCACGAGGAGGAGTCGCATGGGAACAGAGCCGCAACCGGGAGCGAGATCCCTTTTTGAAGCCAAATTGCAGTTCATGCTTGAATACTGGTCAGAAAATTACCTGAATTCAAGACAGCGTATAATTCCACAGAAATCCACGACAGGTGATTTTGTGAGACTTAAGGGGAACTCGGTGATGGTCGTTCACTGCCTTGAGTGCACAAGGCAACGGTCTCGCTTTTAAGCTGATAATGAATCCCAACAATGTTGAACTGTGGAAAACCCACAGTGTTTTTAATAAGAAATGTAATAAAATACACAGGGGCTTATCGAAACACGGGCTATGATCTGAAGCAGATACGGCAGTTATGGTTTTCTGTCTTTCGCTTGTTTGGAATGAGAATACCTTCAAGAAAAACAGCTTTCAGTCCATAATTGTCTGTTCTTTCTTGTCTGAAGCCATCTAAGCGGCTGCTCTAATGACAAAGGGCTGTGAGTCTTTAAAGTCTCGTGACTGACATCTAAAACGGCCGGTTATGTTGATGCAGGTGGCCTGTGATATACAGCTTGCTGGCAGGGGCTGCGTAAAAAGCTGGGGGGAGCGGGCTGGGCAGCTGGGGGGGGCGCTGAAGGCAGATCTTGCAACTGTCATTGTCCCGGTAGAATCTAACTGGAAGTGGCTCTAACGGTTAGAATCAAAGGCGACTCCCCCCTACTCAAAATGCCCTCCCCCCACCCTCAGAAAGTCACAGGGGACATTCTGAAAGGGGAAACATCTGTTAACCTTTAGAGCGAGTGAACGGCATGTGTGCCATTCTGTCTGAAGGCTAATGTGAGGAGACGCCTGATGCTCACCGCGTGGCCCCGCCCCTTCCCGCTGTCCACCGCGTGGCCCCGCCCCTTCCCGCTGTCCACCGCGTGGCCCCGCCCCTTCCCGCTGTCCACCGCGTGGCCCCGCCCCTTCCCGCCGTCCGCCGCGTGGCCCCGCCCCTTCCTGCCGTCCACCGCGTCGCTGACAGTCCATCCGGCGTGACACGAAGGGCTCCCTTCGTCTGTTTGACATGCAGCCCTCACCTTTCATTAACTCCACCACCTCCCTCTGGACCGCAACTTCTCTAACGTGCCTTCTCACGTATCCACTGCCTTCCCAGGAACTGTGTGGCAGTCCTGAACTTTAGCAGCATAAATAAAATACATGTGGGCAGCAGAGAGCATGTATGCTGGAGGAGAATGTAAGATCTAGTAGCAGACACGGACCAGCAGGGGGCGCAGCGGTTAAGGAACTGACCTAACTGATCCACAGTCAATAACCTAGGGAAGTTATTGCTGTGGAGACGTTCAGTTGAGACTCTTACCATGAACTGCTTTTGTAAAAATATCCTGGTGAATAAACAGGAAACTGTAAAGATGTTAGCTATCGGAGCTGTTCTTAATAGGAGCCTCGTTTAACCAGCTAAATGGTGATGTGATGTAATCCCCTGTAAGAAAGCTGACTGTGAGAGTGGACAGTCAAGGAGGAGGAAAGCGGTCTGCGAGAACGCCCAGATCACAGCCAAGCTAGCCTGACTATTATGGGCTATCCTGAAATACTCTTTGAGATCTTTGACATCTTCTAGGAAATGTTTATAAGGGCCTGCAGCTTATGAGCAGATATCGTATTGGGATCGTCAGTTAGCATCACATGATCATCATTACTACATTATTGTTTGGACACATCTTTTGTTTAACTGTCTCCTATTGACATGAGGAATGTGCCTCTTTTTAACCGGCCAATGGGAGCTGGTTTGAGGAAGCCTCAGACAAAGAAGGGCAGCATGATGAATATTCATTAATGTTGCTGCTTCTCGACGGTGCCTGTGGTGTGAGTCAAGCTGAAATTAATTTTAGGGTTACAATTACTTTTATACGATGCGTTGCATTTGTGATTTAAAAATGAAGAAGAATTTGTAAATTTGTTGTTGCTTGGAAACAATTCGGAAGTGATTCGGAATGAAAATGGATGGAGCAAAACATTGAGACCATGCTCAGATAGACATGCAGTGATGTGAAATGCACAGTATCAGAAAAGCAAATGAAAATGGGGGCACTCTGAGATACCGTTCTATAATAACGTATATTTGGAATATATCTGGAATTTGAATTGGCCAAAAATAGCACATCATTCAATGCATTCATCATAATTCTGGTGATGTCTGGGGGAACAGAAATTGGCACACGAAACAAACGTAAGCCACCGTGTCAATTATTTACTGGGAAATGAGTGAAAAAACGATGTGAAAGAAGATGCAATATGTCATATAATACTGGGTAAAAACTGGAACAGGTCTGTGGGGTAAAATGTTAGTGTCTTTCTGTCCTGTAGACTCCGGAGCTTCAGCTGCGAGCGCGACGCAGCGCCAGGTCATGGCGGCCCCACGCGGACAGCTCCATAGCTGTAGATCACTGATAGCACACCCTGACATGCCATTAACTGCTATCATCCCGCACCAGGCTTTGTCCTACAAATGCTGCTGACCGCTGACTCTATACCGCTAACCGCTAGCGTACCTTTTGTCTGCAAGCACCGGCAGACGCTGTTAACCACTAACTCCCCACCGCGTACAAATGCCACTTAGTGGCCCGTCAAACCCATAGCCTAGCAGGAGGTAAGGCTCCTGGGGATGAAGTCCTGCCTGCGTTCATGCTAGAGGCAGCAGGAGGACATACTGCAGTCGGGTAAAAATATTCATCTTAGATCTGAAGGACTTCAGCCAGAAGAATGCTCTTGTTTGTTTGGTTTGCAGGGGTCTCCTGAAGCGTGGGGGCTGGGGGTGCGGATGGATAATAGAACAGCCCACCTGTGAGAGTCGGATCTGGCTGTGTATTTGACCTCACCCTCTCCCTCCCATGGATACTGACATACCAAGCAACACTGGATGAGTGTTACTGT